GCTATGTTAATGGGGACATGTAATGTACACAGATTCCTTGGATGACCAAGACATAGGACAGAACTTACGAAAATATGTTATTTACTAAGTTCGAACACACATGTGAGGACGAATCGAGTTATTATGACGAGTGGTTAAGAGTTGTGACGAATTTGCGAAATCATATTTCTCATTCAGCTTATCCACCGTTTTGGATAATCATCAGTCAGTCCTACGTAAAACCATTTCAGTTTCCTTTTTTCTTTCTTCGTAGACCTTGTGCACACAACGTCGTGTTTTTGTGATGGCTGCCATTTGTTCAAAAGTACTTTACCCCTTATGTCAGGATATCTAGTAAATGTATTGTAATAAACGTGTTATTAAGCATGGGCTTACAAATTTGGCATGAGCAGTGTAAGAATAACAGTGATGTGAATGTATAATTCAATGCCATGAATCATAAATATTCATTTAAGTTTCAAATTTTCACATTGACATCAGTGCAGATCGTGGTCTTGTGGTTAGTTGCCCCGTGTTGTTTTCTAGTCGTATACCGACGTTTCGGAGGAACATAATGCATCTGTATTCGCGGGTTGGAGTGACTACATGGCTCAGCAACCGAGAAAACTATTTCATAAGTGCTCAAAGCCTGAGGTGTAGTATTTATGTGTTATGTCTGGACCGATGAAGTGAGTCCCTTGTCAACACGGCTCGGCGCGTACGGAGGTTGCTTATGGAAGAGACGGCCTCCAAATATGGGAGGTAGCATTGAATGAGCAGTCGAGGGCGACCTACAAAATATGTGGTCTTCGTTCTCGGGGAGTGACAACTCATCACCGTCAAGAACTTGTTACTCAGGATCTTGGACTTTGAACGACCTAAGCAACGAGACATGAGATTGGAACTTTGGAATGCCGTGAGTTTCTGTAGTACGGATGTGGATTGAATTCATCTGGTTTAGATTAGTTTCCAGTGGCGGATTCTTGTTTACACATTAATGAATCATCGGGTTTCATAAGGCTGGGGAACTTCTTGATTGTATGAGCGAATGATAAGATTTAGGTACAGGGCCTGATAAGTTCTTACCGTTTCGTAGGAAAGAACAAGTGGAGGATAGCATTTAAAATTATGGCCTCTTAGTTGTGACACCGTGTATTCTTGGAGGTGGGTACAAAATATGTAAACCGTACAGAAGGTCAAGGTGTAGAAAGGTCACTGCGTATGTTCTCCCATGATGTTAAACCTGAGCACGCGCAAAAAAAATAAAGTTATGATATGTAAAAGGTGCGGTTGTTCCTGTTGCTTGATAAAAAACCACGCCATGAAGAACGTTTTGGGGATCTGATATGCCACGGTACTGGATAGAGGTGAGGTGTCAGCTTCACGCCCGGTCGCTTTACCCCAAGTAAAAAGACCAATATACATATATTATTGCACTCTCACCTTTACGTCTGCGTTTAAAGCTAAATGCTATACTTAAATTGTTCAGAATGCTAAAAGAGAATAGTATAGTTTGTATAACAAGCGAAGAAGCTTTCTGTTCAACGTCCAATGTGCAGTACACTTGCCTAAATTAAGGGTAACATGAATACAGGAAGTCCTTCATAATTGAAATTTACGATGAAATTGCTATGAATTAAATTAATCAACCTTTTGCGAACATATCAGCATCTCCTCGACTGGATGCAGTAATTGCAGCAGCTGTTGGTAATAGGGGAAGTTCTTGAAGCTGGAAAGAAGAAAATAAAAGAGAAGAGAAGAGAAGAATAAGGAAATGATTCCAAGCAACTTGTATTGACTCTGTGGGGCGGCTCCAAATTATGTCGATTCATCTTACCAACTGCCGTACAGGAGAGCATGTCGTGTTGCTTGGCTCCCGACTTCCACATTGGCACTTCTTGTGCAAATGTCAGCTGCGTACCGATGTCAGCCATTCTTCTTTACTTATAACAATTATAAGAAATATCAGTCGTTCTATATACTACGTTATTTGAACACTTTTGTCGCTCATATCAGAAGTGTTGCAAAACTTCAAAATAATAGCAGTACTTGTATGTGAAGTAGAATGAATTATGCAACTTTCTTCAGCCTCTAATATTCCGTGCATTGGAATGTAAAAATAAATCGATAGGCCCATACCAATTACAGCCTTAGTGCTTGCCGCTAGATGGAAGCAGAATGTGAAAGTCTACTGTAAGAACTTTTTACAGACATAGATGTTGTGCGACTATCTTAATAGACTTATCAGCAATAACATAACAACAGTGAACAAATTCATTCTATTACTGGTTTTCATGAGATTAGAGGCTCGCAGTAGAATAACATGGTACTTGATTCACTTGAAATTTACATTAATTGGAATAAATATTTGGAACTTGTCCGCGCTGCAAACGTCACTAGACAGAGGCAAAGTAAACAGATGTCGCCAAACAGACGTAAACCGACAATAAATACTACGGAATGTTTGCTATAAAAAGAACTGTCTTGATGACAGTAACGAGTATGCATGTCATTTGGCCTACATTTCGTCTTTCTTTGTGTATTATGGTTGTTTTCACGTGATGTGATTATGTGACGAAAGTTAGTAGCACCAGGAAAGTGCATTATAAAGCGTTATTTACTATTTTTCGTACCCCTGGCGTTGGACTTAAGCTGCCTGTTGCTGTAAAAATAATCTCATAACGGTATACTACAATACACTGAACTGAAGATATGCTTTGTATATCCCTAAATATTCACTGTATCGTAGGTGTTTCAAACGTAATTTACGAGATCTTAATTATATATAGGCCTGTATTTTATGTCATGCATGGAAGTCTACGAATAAAAATTAAACTTGCTTGATAAATTTTAGTTCTTATGTACAATATTAAATGTAATTAAAATTCATTGTGTAGTTTCCTATACGAAACGTCTACCGGATGGACGCAAGACCTCCCTCTTTTGCTCTCAATTTATTGACTTTGTGCGAAGTCGTTCTTGTCACTGTATTAATTCTTGAGAAACTACACTGATATTAAACAGAAGTGTTAACTACTTGTCTCATTAACTTCGCACAAAAGGGTTTCTGTATCACTAATATTTGTATGTGGAGTAAGTAATGTCTCTGGAAGATATCCTTGTTCAAATTTAGAGTAAGTCTTTCTAGTCTTATTTATATTTTGTAACCAAAACATTTCTCTTTATGAGGAAAATAAGTCTACTTATATTAAAACTGATCTTAAAGAAATAAACCGATGGCTGTATGGAATGGATGTGTCAGGAGGAGGACAAGGGACCAATGGCGGCTCTTCAGAATACGACAACGACCATTTGAATTCAATAAAATTAAGGGTAGATATTTACCAGCTGAGCCACTATAAGCTGCAGATGTGTGGAGTTAGTTTCCCTTTTAAAGGGAAAAAACTATGAATATAGTTGCAGAAATAAGTCAGCCGTGTTGCAGTTCCGTGATAAAGTGGGGCAATAGTAAAGGTACACGTTCTGTAGTGCATGGTAATTTATAAACGAAAGCCTTAGAGTATGTGTTACCTTGATCCAATGTAAGTATTACATTGGATAAACCATCATGACTTCACATTTACGAAATTACAGGATGCACATAAGATATCTGAAAGCAAAACTACATTTAAAGAAAATTATATACAAGGTATTACAAGCTATTCTGATTCGTATCATCAAAATTATTGTTCACTCTGATATTTTTACCAGAAAAACTGATATATAATTAAATTCAAATAAGGTACGATGATAAGGCATTTCATGTAGGTCTGCTTTTATTTGCTTACAAACAACTTTAATTTGTTAACTGTTTTCTTACAAAATATATAGCTGTCTTGGTTCTTTCCTTATCTGGAAGTAAATTACAAGTGTCACAGATTATTACGTGCATGAACACGAGAGGCAAATGAGGAGTGGAGTACTGAAGCGTTTTTGCTGGAAATAAAAAGAGAATTTACGATAACGTTGCTTCATATTGTTTTTATCCTCTTGTGTACAAAAATTAAATAACTATGTGTCTTATTTACCTGTGGGACTAAATTCAGAAACACTATACAGCAAGCTTAAAGTGGCTACTGTAATTTTCGTGAGATCTCTATTTACACGACGTGTTTAATGGAAACGTACTTAAAAATTATCGTGAAAACAGTTCAGTGCTAGTCTTGTATCAAGATAATTAACCAATGTAAGCCAGTAGCCTACTAATTTCCGACATAATATCATCCGTCATCGGTCAAGCTAAATAAAAGAGAGAAATCGGTCCAATTACTGCACAGTAATGAAATTTCATTAAATTGCAGTGAATACCTGCCCATCGAAGAAAAGAGAAGGAAACTGACGTTTTAGGTTCTCACGGTGGCCTGCTGGGATATTTCGACGTGTAGTTTCGTAGAAGTTGGCCGATGTTTCAGAGATTTTAATGCCTCATTCTTCAGGGCGATCATTGCCACACCGCGAAATATCCCAGAAGGCTGTTATCTTCAAGGAGAATGCAAGTTGTTTAGCATAAGTGAAAACAAACATCTTACAAAAATTCATCTACAGATTGTCCTTACACTGAAAAAATTAATAACAAATAACTTTTCCTCTGGTACTGTTTGAAGTTTAATTTATAGGGCATCGTGCCAGAAGGGGGAATCAACATATTTGCATAATCTGTGATATTTGGTCTGACAACGTAGAACAGCGGGATGTTTGTCATGCCAGAAGGCCGTAATGCTGATGCTACTCTATACAAAAATGCACGCAGTTTTATTTGAGCGTATGAACACTTACTAATGTACGTTTTCAAACTAAATGAGCGTAAGGATGCAGTCTACAGTAAATTAGCTGCTTTATTGATAAGCCCATCTGGCACGATGCCCTCGATTCTATATTTATCCAAAGATTGATAATCCATATAACTGGGATAGGCTATTCTATTCAACAATAGTTGCATAATCCTTGCATTATCTATGTTTCTTCTCGTTAAGTGGAATCGACGGTCTGTTGCAGATCTACAGAGACTGAAAGTCTACCCATCTAGAGTTCGTCCACTGCAGAAAATAAAGTACTGTAATGAGCAAGGATTATCTTATTATTCGGATATATATTGGGATGCCAGGAAATTAAGATAAAATATCAACAAGTGTCTCAGCATTAAAATACTGCCATGCTTATTGCAACTGTATTTGCGGGCAGATGAGAAATTCAGCCAGGATTATTTCATTTTGAGTTCTAAACGAAAAACAAATCTTGCTTTCTTGTGTCTCAAATGAATAGGGGAATAACAAGATTGGAAAAGTATAATGTTTTATGTACATTTCACGTCATACCACTTACGTCATTGTACTAATGTGGTCGGTGTTGCGCTGTAACAATGACCTCAGCTTCCATTGCTGCACAGCGGTTTCAACATTGACCTGTTATAATTCTTGCGCCCAAAAGGTGTTCTTCACACATAACAATGACAAATAACAGTAAGAGATAAAATAGAGGGGAGACTTCTTATGTACAGAGACAGTATCAAAACACACTCTCGTAGTAATTGATTCATATCTTCTGAATCATGTGCTCTTTGCATCGCTGACCTCTGCTGGTCAGATTATCACAGTATGGAGCGTTATATTCTGTGGCCTAGGTAAATAGTAGGATGCATTATTACTCGGTCTTACACGACGTCAGAACTGCAGCGGTGCTTTGTCAGTTGTGTTTACTGACACTAAAGCTGTACGTATCTCGGGATGAATCTTCTTTCTTTCATTCATTCATTCCAAGCTGATGAAAATCTTAGTTTTTGTGAACGTTTGTTAGTTTCTTTGTTTGATAGCTGAAGCTGTGTCGTCTATGGCAAGTCCAAGAGCACGGTATGAAGTTCCTACTATTGCAACTATTACGTAGGAACTCTATACCTCGCTGCTGGCAAGTTACCATTCTCGTCGATAGCATTCTTAATATTGGTAACACTGCACAGAGAAGAGCCGAGCTCTGCGCTGATGAGTCTTCTTATCTTGTCTTCTTGGGTTTATATTGCTTTTATTATTTATGATGTTTGCATAGTTCTTATAGTTAGAAATCATTTTTATGTTTTACTTCACTTACCATGTAAAGTGCACCTGAAACACAAAACAGCGTTCAGTATGAAGTTTTTCAAGTTATCGTCATAGGCCTTATCGTATATGGTATTTCAAAAGTGATTATCACTTTATTAATACCGTATTTCCTCGATTTTAAAATGCACTCTATCATATCTTAAAGTTTCGGAATTCGAGGTGCGTCTGATATTTTATGGCATCTAAGAACCGATACAGCGTATTTTTTCCTGAAAACATATTACTAAATCAAGGGTGCATTCTGCAATCGATAGCGTCTTAAAATCGAGGAAATACTGTAATTTAATGAAGCAAATTTTTAGTTTCGATTTCAGTAAGCCCTAATCTTAAAGTTATGTCAGTCGATTTGGAAATATCCTGGTTACAAGCTTAAGTTTTAAATTATTAGTATACTTTATATAAAACCTCTCACTTCAGTGAAAATACTCAACTGCGTTATAATATATTCGGAGTCGTAATTCAGTACAGTCACAAGCCACACTGAACGACTTGCTGTGCTACGAGCATCACTGGCATGGAACTGCCTCGATCTTGTAACTTTTGATGCGTTTGGAAATCGAACTGCTTTCAGGCCACTGCATTTGTCCTTTTTACCAATACATTTCTAGTTTTAGTTCCATAAACATTACGAAATTGTTATAAAACTGTGGGTCGGAATTATGTGATGTCATATTATCTCTTATATCCGCTTTCTGAAGTAATTATGTAAACTGCTATTATTTATCATGTTCATTTAGGCTTTCTGTGTAAAGTTATCTTTCTACATGTTACAAATTATTAATTTCTTTAAAACTGTTTTATAAAACAGTCGTAGAAAGAGAAAAGAATGGTCATTCATTTAATTACGTTTAAACCCAAATTTATACGTTTTGTAACTATAAGGGTAAGTTTTAATTTTATGGAATGCAGCCTCCAGCTTAAATTTCAACAGCAAATAATTCGTTTTTAGTCGAAAGAGAACAATGATAATGGCGTGGAAACGGAACTTTACTGCTGCCGGTCTTCTGGATTCTTCCGTCGGGTAGCGTCTAGGTTTTCCCAACATTTTTAAGGGACCTCGTGTCCCTATCTTTAGCCTTCGTGGCCCTGCCAACAACGTTACAGTGCGCTACAATCCGGAAGATAGCCACCTTCTGACTCACCGCCGTGAAAACCTCAAATCCTACTCAGCGTTTTTCACACTTGCCTTCCTTCAAAACTCTATTCAAGTGCTGTAGTGTTAATTACGATAGATGAGAAATGTAGCGTTGTCTAAGATTTAACGTAAATCCTGACAGGCTAAGAGTAGATAGTGTAGTAATACTAAAAATGACTCGTAAATGAATATTGTGTGATTGTGTTGACTGGATTCAACTGGCTGATACAGCTCACTGGTGGGCTCTTATAAACACGGGGCTCCACAAAACCCCAAGGGATTTTGACCAGTTAGCAACTATCATGTTCACGAGAAAGACTTTGCTCCAAGGAGTTATTTAACTTGTTTCTGAGTCAGAGAATAATTAGAATACTTTTAACGACTGTACGTACATATTCTAAAAGAGATTTCATTTATAATAGGCCTAAGTCTTACTTTGAAAGCAAATTGTTATTTTAAATTTTACATTATATGCCTCGGGAATAAGGCAGAGGAAGAATCAGGTTAAGAGGAAAAGTTTTTAATGACTATACTTCATGAATATTTTCTTCGCTTTTACTCGGAATTTTCAAAATTATTTCAACTGATAAAATATTTGAAATTTGATAGAGCTACTGTTGTATTGTCGTAATTGTGCAGTTTAATAAGTCGGAGTATTTCGTTTGTCACCCCCTTTTTTTTTTTTAACAAATTCCGATCTGAGCATGGGCACTCTTTGTAGCTTAAATTACTCACATAATAGAAGAGATTTCTTAAAATTTAATTTCTCTACTGACATATCCTCTAATTATTTAAGATATTTGGCGAAATAAATCATCGACCTCCGTGAGGAAATCCTCCGTTTCCTTTGACAGAAAGTTTGGTTCATTTTGTTTTACTGTTTCAACTGTAATCTTATCGTCTTCCCTCTTTCACCCGCCTTTCTGAGGTTAAGTTAATCGTGAAATTCGTAATTCGATGGTTGACATATAGTGACGTATAGAACATAGAGGGAGAGAACCCACCGAAAGGGAAATTGGTGGGACGGCAGGGGGGGGGGGTAACATCACATCTGGTAAAGCTAAAAACTAAGACGCACTGATCTTAACGAAGTACCTTCACTGTCAAAAAGCGTGTCGTTTCGGCAAATCATTGATGCATGCTACTTAAGGAAACACAATTCATGTGGTCATATCTACTTTCAGTTTTAACATACCACTAAAATCCCCCCCCTCCCCCTTAAATACGCCTGTCAGACACTCAGTATCATGTAGTTGTCTCAGAACATCAGGGATGTCGAAACAGCAAACCCAATTGCTATGGGCCTAAGCAGAGTGTACTTGGCGTACCGAATAAGACAATACACTCACTGGTATGAAAAATTCGACCTGCAGGATTGTGACAAGTGTTCATCCAGCGACGGAACAACTGAAATTAGAGCCGTGCTGACTCAAGACAGTGCATGAGCTGCAACAAGGCTTCTTGTGTAGCAATTAGGTCTGCATTTTAAATTGAACACAATGTTTGTGTTCTGTCACAATGCAAAACGTATTTTATTCTGGAAGAGGTTCAGTTTGAGAATGAATGGAGAATGATGCTGCTATTGAAATTGGCGGGGAATGTAGCACGAACGACGAACAGGAAATACAATCAAATTTTGGTTGGTGAATTTAAAGAAAGAACGTTACTAGGAAGCCCGAGCCGGTTATAAGATAATATTAAAATGGAACCTGGAAATATGTTGTGAGGAAATGGGCTGAATGTGGTAGGTTTAGGGTTACATTCTGGACCCTGCTGTTAAAAGTATGAATATTATTTGTTTAAGTAATTATGATACGCACATCTATTCAGTTGGAATTTTTAAAACTATCTTCTTTCTACAGAAATAAAAAATTACAACTGAATTAGATGATGGGAACGGTCTTATCCTTCTTCCACGTGTAAGCTATTATAAATCGTAAAGTTATATTAACTTATGAGTAATGAATTCCAAAAGTTTAAGTGTACACTTGAAACAAACGTCTTTGGGAAAACAATATAAGATATTAACGTATTTTTTATTTAACCAAAATGGATCAGTTGTCTGTGGCACTTCCATTAGAGAAAAGCATCTGTACAAAAGGTAACTAAATCCGGTTGATTCGGAGAATAAACTGCCCCAACATTCACTATCTGATCATGTCATACTTTGAGGCCAATCATTACAGTCCCTTATTTTTGCTGGCTACTGTACGTATATAGAGAATTTTTTGTTACGTTGGCACTGTTGACTTTGTGGCTGGAACAGAAAATTTTCATACATGCTATCCTCCTGGGAATCGGCTGTCATGCTTGCAGTGACACGTTGCTAGTTTACCCGGGAGAGCAGGTGGTGTGCAGTGCGCTGTCACAGCAGGGTCAAATACAACAGGCTACTCAGCAAGGTATGGGTCATATTCACATTTATTTCTGAACAGTAAAACATACGCAAGTTTATAATTAGGATATTAAGCAAAGAAATGTAATCCGCGGGTAATTAAATGTCATCTAATGAGAGTGAAGGAGAAACTCAGCGTCGGGGCATTTTGTATTCGGTAATGCTCGTGTTTCGTGAGTTTCTTCAGCTCCCGGCTGAACTACCGCTCGTGCTGATTGGTTTGTCTTCAGTTACTTGAAGCAAACGTTACGATAGTATCGTCACTTTGGGATAAACCATGAACCATAAACCATTTGAGCATTCACAACACCTTTCCATTTTAGGTACCATACTTTGCGTCTTCAGAAACAATGAAACTGGCAATATCATATAGGTTAGGTCGAATGAAATTATATTGTACATTAACTTGCATGTGAAGAGACGTCGGGCATTTCACATCTGCCCCTGTGAAAGGAATGTTGATATGTGCAAGTGTGTACAGTCGTCTCTGTGCCGTTTAAAACGTCTTTTACCAAAGGGGACGAGATAGCATGCCGGGAAACAGTGTTAAATATGCACATAAAAGGCGAATATGCGACTACGGCCCGTTGTAATGATCACAACTTAGGAATTTCATAGCTGTTCTTGGCATGCAGAGAGGCTGCGGTGGTACTGTTTATGGTTGATGCTTATAGCAAAAATGGAGAGGGGAGAGAGAGACGTCGCCATATTGTGACGTCATCATCAGAACAAGCTGTGGCGCAGGGGAGAGGGCATTGTCGTCAATTAGTTAACCTTGGCTCGGTGACGCGTCCACCTCTTCCCCCCCCCCCCCCACCAC